AGAATGAGTTTTGTTTGCAATTATTGTACACTGTAGAGACACCCATTTTGGTTGAGTTGCATTATGCTGCGACCAAATGGTATTTTAGTGTCAGAGAAACTATTTATCAAAGGTTTTGTGCGTATCTTGTTGTCCATCTCAGTGTTTGATACTCATAATAAAATTATTGGTAGAAAAATTTGAAATTATATGAATATTCTTAATGTTTTCTTCAAAATTGAATGGAAAAAACTATTGTGATTAGGTAAAACTTTTTTATAAAAAAGTAATATTCAATAAATTCACTAAAAGTAAAGATGCAAAAAGGCATTGTGGGCTGCGGTGAAAGGCAACTAGGAAATAACATTGAACGGGAACATGCCCCAGACCAATCACTAACTTATTTTCAGGAAGTATATATCTAATACGAATATAGAGTTATCAATAATTTAAATAATTTAGTGATTACTTTTTTCGTTAAAAATAAAAAATTCTGAATTCAAATCACATGATATACAAATATAGTGAAATAAAAAATAATTACTTCGTATTATACAATCAAGATAAATATAATAATTTAAAGTTGAGCTAAACTTGTACATAACAAGACTTTGCCTTTATCTCGTTGGCTCTATATTAGTATAGAGGTAAACTAAACTTATATATGATAAAACTTGACCATGATCTCAGTTATTCTACCTGATTTTAACCTATTGATTGTATTTAACCATTTTAATTTCTTTATAAAAAAACTATTTTAATTTTTAAATTTCCTTACCTTTTTTTTTTTTAGTTTAGTAGTCAAAATGTTTTCATGTCAATTTGCGTATATTTGGAAACTAATCTTTGCTGCACCTGGCCTTTAAGCCTAGTGACAATAGCCACTTCGGTGCATTCTCCTCTCCCCCGAGCTGGGTTCGAAACCCGCCCCTTGCAAATATGTTCAAAAAAAAAAAAAATCTTTGCTTAGTTTGGTTAAAGTTAGGCAACCTACTTTGAGACTAAAAACTAAAAAGTTCATTGAAAATTACCTTTTATTAATTTCTTCATTAACTTTTTCAAAAAATTAAACTTTAATTAATTAAATAAAAAACAAATTTCTTTACCAATCAAGCTATAAGTCCTTCGTTTACTTTTACCTTATAAACACCATCTCTCATTGCTGTTACCTCTCTTTACAATCTTTCCCCTTTTATTTACTTTTCCCACTTCAATAAAAAAACAAAAGGCATAAGTTTAGGCTTTCATTCGACAAATGGATGGAAAATGCTAGGTGAAGGAATGAGGTAAGGAATAAAAGGGCATTATCATCATGTGGACTACATATTTAGTAACTTGGGTCCTAAATTTACTTGTAAAGTCCATTAGCACCAGTCCCATTGCCCACATGATTGGACAAATTCGAGAATCGCCATTTTTACAGGACACCAAGAATGGGCCCATTTGATCATGGGCCTCATGGTTTCCAGGAACTCTTTTGGGTAAAATCGTAATCAATAGAAAAAGAGAAATGCTTACTTGCTTAGTGCTGTTTATTTATTATTATTTTCTAAATAAAAAAAAAAAATTTCCCTCCACACCCAGCGGAATGCATGGGCACATGGCATGGAGCAGTCCTCGTAATAATAATAATAATAATAATAATTTTGTACATTTGAAAACATTTCAACATGAGCGGAGAAAACGTGTGAAAAGGAATATAGATTTTTTTAAAAAAAAATTAAAGATATAAATTTTTAAAATTTTAAATTAGATAATAAATTTCTAATTTTTTAAATAAAAATATAAGTTTTTTAATTTATTTTTTTATTTTTTGATTAAGATTGTCATTTAACATATCAATATCTCTATTCAATAAATTTTTAAATAAAAAAATTAAAATTCATATCTTAAATAAAAAAATAGATAATTTATTGCTTAATTTAGAAATTCAAAAATTTTGTTTTTTAAATAGAAAAAAATGATAAACTTCCTATCTTTTCTCACATGAAGTTTATATATATATATATTAAATGATAAAATATACAATAAAAAATAAAAAATTCTTTCTCCTAACTTTTTTTCATTCATTTTAAAATTTAAATTTAAGATTTTTAATTTAAAATTTTAAATTCTTAACGATTTAATGTGTAACTTTCTTATATGCAATCTCGTTATTGCACTGAATAATTTTTCCTCATGACAATGTCTCGTATCAATAAATGATTAATCAGGCTAATACTTCTTAATTTCCTCATATATCAAAAATAAAAAAGATAAGATTTCGTACAAATAAAAGTATAATTTTTAAATTAAGGTTATCTGCTTTCTTTCAAAATTTTATAATAATTAAAAATATGACCTTTATGATTTTACTAAATAAGACTATTATATTTAAAAGATTTTAATAAAAAAATATAATTGTGCACATTTACTTAATTATTATTTAGTAAAATTACAAAAAAGTATATCTTTTATTATAAACTTTTAAAATATGATAATTTTGATCAAGTAAAAAAATATTATACCTTTAATTAAAATTTTTTTAAAAATTGTGTCTTTATTTATACAAAATTTTTTTAAAAAAACCTCATTTATGACATAAACCTCATGTTAATTTTGCTCTATGTAAATTAATTAATAGAAATGCAGATTGTTAGGTGGTTTCATAAAAGAAAGTGTAAAAATGCTTATGAAAAAAAGTTAGGTGTTATTAATGAATCAACATATATACATGATTTATTTAAATTATTAAAATAATTTTACATGTATTCTTATATATATAGTTTGCAGGTCAACATAAAAATACTTTTTTTTGAATTATAATACCAGTGAATAATTAAAATTAGATCATGAGTTTCTAAATTATATATGAGATTGAAACCTCCAATTCCACTTGATGACGGACTAAACAAGAAGAATAAAATAAAAAATAGTAAAAATAAATAAAGAAAAAAAAGTAAAAATTAAAAATTTTTAATATTTTAAACTTTAAAATTATTATAAAATTAATAGATTACTTTTAATAAAATTTATTTTTATATAAATTCATTAAAAATATTTTAACTTTTTTTATTATCATTTCCAACTCTTTAATTAACAATAACAAGATGCGATTATTTTTCTTTTACCGTGCAAAGAGAGTACGTTTGGAGAATATGGTTAAAGCCTAATTTAGTTTCTCAACTATTATACAAAGCTTCAATATGATCCCTAAACTAGAAAATTTTTTATGTAATTTCTAAACCTTTTAAATTTAACTTGAAAATGATTATTCTATTAAAAAATAACCAACATATATGTTGTTTAATGGAAAAAATTTATTATTTAGTTCCTCAACTATTATACAAAGCTTCAATATGATCCCTAAACTAGAAAAATTTTTATATAATTTCTAAACCTTTTAAATTTAACTTGAAAATGATTATTCTATTAAAAAAAACCAACATATATGTTGTTTAATGGAAAAAATTTATTATTTAATAGTTATGTGTTACATAAATAAAGAAAAACATCAGTTATTTTTATACAAAAAAAATCAATTTAAAATTAAAATTAAAAACTTTAAGGTTTAAATTAAAAATTTTTTATATAACAATAGAGGAATCAATGGTTTAATAGCATAATATTTTGCCTTTTTTTTTCTTGGCAGGGTCCAATGAATACATAGTGGGCCACAACGGATAATCGTGTTGGTCAAACTATTAAGATCACCTGCGGCAAGTGTCAACTTGACCATCCCATCATTGTTTTTTTATTACTTTTTTATGTGATAATAATATTAAATTCTCATTAATTTAAAATCAATTCACATTAAATATTCGAAAGTAACTTTTTTAATATTTATTTTTTCAATCATAAAATTTAAAATTTTATTTAAAATAAATCAAATTTTCCTTATTTGGAGCAACCTGTTATTAGTGCTTTCCATCATTTACTGTCACGAATCTGGACTTTTGCCCCCATCAACGGCTGTGATCTTCTGATATCTCATCAGGGAAAATCAAATAGGACGCGAGTGGGCCTCCCTCCATGAGCAGTCTGCAGTGACAACACAGGACATTCTTTCTCCCCGGTGTGATCCCTTCTCTGTTTCGGAGAGCGTGAACTCACGGCCCAACCCATTCAATTTTCATCTTTCAACTAATGATGCAATTTAAAAAAAAAAAAAAAAAACTAATGATGCAATTTACAAGATTCTAATATATATTTTAAGAACGAATTTATCTATCCTACGTCATTTTTTTTTTTTAACTTAAGGAAATTGTTAGGGGTAAAAAGAATAATGCTTGAAAATAAATTTTAAGATTTTTATGTCCAATTACATTCTTACAAAATAATGATTTCTAAGTCATATAATATTGGACATCTATCCCATGATTTAAGAGTAGAAGATAAGAAACAATAACTATATAATAATTATAATAATTTTTTTTAAAAAAATGTGAAATCTTAAATTAAAAATATAATTTTTATTTTATGATTTAAAATAAATTAATAAAAAATTAAACACATAACATTCATAATTAAAATAAAAGTTAATTTTATCATTTTTAAAATAAAAAATAATAATTATTAATTAATAATTATATTTCTTATCCTTACCCTAAAGGTATAGGATAGATAAATTCTTTAAGAATATAGTTAATTTTTATTTTAATATTATTTTTATGTTAATAATTTTAATTAATTTATTTATTCATTAGAAATTAATTATTATTATTTTTATATAAATTAATTATAAAAAATTATACTTATTATACTTTTAACTTATATATTAGGAGTATAAAAAAAAAAAAACTTATGCTGTAAAAGAAAGCAGGAAAACAACTTTTAATGTTGGGAAAAGATTTTAAAAACGAAAATAAGTTGTTTGTTACCAGAATTTGTTATTGTGCCCTCTTCATTTCAATTGATGGAACTTTCGGGTTTCACATGCAATAAACTAACGGGTTTTCCGAATCTGGATCTCGTGATTTAATGGCTGTACATTTGATATTAAAGTGTATATCTTAAGGATAATGATTTGCGGAACGAGAGTGGGGAGCGAAAATGAGAGTCGACAAGTGAAGTTAGTTAAATGAGTAATTTTGTAATTTAACCAACTTCACTTGTCTTCACTTGTCGGCTCCCATTTTCGCCTCTCACTTTCGTTCCGCAAATCATTATCCATCTCTTAATCATAGAATTATATAAAGTTTCATTTTTTATCAAAATTTAATATTATAATCTTATTTTATAATAAAAAATAAAATTTTATCTTATAAAAATAATTTTAAATGTGGGTGTATACTAGACTCATAACTGTTGATATAGATTGCATTTTAACTTACTGATTAACATTTAATTTTCTCAAAGAAAGCCAATAAAATGATGATTTCCCATAAATTCTTAGTCACGGATGGTGTGAATGACTAGTAAAAAAATTAGTCACAAAATATACAAGAAATAATCTAGAAACACCATAGCTTTTAAATAGATTGTGAGATACTAGTATAAAATTATGTGTAAATTCTTTATCTTTTTCTATTTTAAATTTAATGCTTTAATGTCATAGGATAAAATGATAAATAGAATTTACTATATTATTTTAAACTGATTTAAAATAATTAAATTTTACATGAGAGACATGATTTAAATTAACATTTAATTGGTTTATAATTTAAAGCTAATTGATTTAAAATAATTTTAAAATTATCATCATAATTTTTAAATTTGTTTTTTATGAACATTTGAAAATTTATTGATCACTATGATTTCCTTTTTCCTAACATGAGTTTTTTTTTATCAATAAAATTTTGATATAGTTGATACTTACCATTACTAATTTTAAAATTTAAATCTTTGATTAGAATTTCAAGGTTAAAATCATAGTTTTAAATTTTTACAACACAAAGCAACTATCTTTGTAATCCCTTTAAAGAAAAAATACTTAATCAATTGTAATATTTAAAAATATAAATTTTTAAAACATGAATGATATTATTTTTAATTTTTTTCTTATAGTACTTTATTAATTAAAATAACATAATTTTAGAGTATTTTTTATAATGACTTTCAGAAATCTAAGCAATAAATACCAATATTTATTTAAATTTATGATTAAATAGTAAAAACAAAGAAAACAAAAAGGAAGAAAGTCTGTTTCATTTTTCTTTTTCTAGTCTTTTAAAGAAATTTTTAGGAAAATAAAAAGCAAAAAAGAAAAAAGGTACGTCTAAACTGGCGTGCAATACACGCGAAGTAGTAATGCGCGTAGAAGGAGCACGTCTCATAGCTCAGTGAACTCCTCAACGCCCAAGACTCATATATTACTCCCAAGTCGAAGGACCACCATTGTGTCGCGCACTCAGCCTCCGTTTTCAAGCTAACCGAACCATTCCTTGTCCTTCCTCCACAGCCAGAGACAGGCTCAGGCTCAGGCTCAGGCTCAGGCTCAGGCTCAGGCTCATAGCTTTGCTTCTCTTCGCCGGCCTCAGCCGCTTCCTCCTCCTTCTCCTCGCACCTCCATCGATTTCTCTCTCCGCCGAGGTCCTACAATGAGAAACACGTTCCTCGCTTTATTATTCTTGTGTTATCTCCTTATTTGCTTCGTCTCCGTCGCCAACACCGTCGCTGAGTCTGACTCCGCCGAGATCAATGCCACTGCCTCCAGTTTTAACGCATCGCTCTTGAGATCCAAAGAGAATAGCTTTGCCGACATGATCGATCGCGCTCTCGAGAAGGAGTTCAATGACACTGACCAGAACGAAGGTCCGTACTAGATCTGAGCTCTCGATCACTCATTCTATGCATATGCATTTGTTGCATCATGCGCAGTGGTTGTGCCTGGATTTTAATTCTCTGGATCAGCTTTTTCCTTTCTTAATGTTGCTTACTTTAATTAATTTTTATTATACATAAGAAAATATTCTGCTTAATTTGATATCCGACTAATTTCATAATGATATTAGTTTGATTTTTATTTTTGTTGGTTTTGTTTTTGTTATGAATTTGCTTCTTTCCTTCTCTTTTTCGAGTTTTTTTTTTTTTGAAACGGGAATTGAAAATCCTTCTGCGCGATAATGTTCTCTGTAATGTAAGGAATCCTTGTGGTCCATAAGAAATGTGGGTTGAAATCCTGAATTTCATTGTAATTCTCTTATTGTAGTACACAAGATTTAAAGCTTATTTAACTAAGTCTAATTTTGTGGCTCTGGTTGTGATGGCCTGTTTTTGGTTATTAAGTTAACAATTATTATGCTTGATCCTTGTAGTTTCTTTCCTTTTGTTTGCCAATCAATCAAGCAGACATTTGAAAAACAATTTGAAGGCCCTTGATTTTTTTCTTCTCTCTTGCAGTGACTGATCCTGGAAGCTTCAACAATAGTGTTGCTGAGCAGCAGGTTGGTTCTCGAATTTTTAAAATTTGTTATTCGTTAATTTCGTTTTTAATGACTGCAGTCTTTTGAAGGTATGTAAGTAGGTTCAATGAGGGTTAGGAAGCAGCCTTTCCTTCTAGCTTTATTTATTAATATTGCTTTTAATTTTGTTCAAAGGTTAGAAGTAATCAAAAAATTCCTACATTTAGGATTATAAGTTTATAACATGTGAAAGTGAAGGAAAGTTTACATCGTTTACTGATAACCTAAGCTGAAGTTAGGAGAACCATTTATTTTTTTGGTAAGTTAGGAGAATCGTTTAAGTTGGAGTTTTTGTATTTTAAATGTGGTCAATTTGGAAGATTCACTTGCAGGAGAAAGAATGATTGAGCTGGGAAATTTTGTTGTTTGGTCGCTGATTAGGGGACTGCTGCCTGGACTATTTCAGTGAATGGTATAGCTTTTCAGTATGTTGATAGTTCTCCTGTTGACGTTTTAAGTTGCTAATCACTTATAGTGGGGTACATGAAGTGGTGATGTTGGTGATGAATAAAGCGTCAACTGCCATTAAATTGGTATAGTGCATCTGATACAACACTGGAATATTTGAGAATGACTATATAGAAATTGGACATGTAAAAACAAGTGTTGATGGGTCAAAGAAAAGTTGAAACTTGAAAGGCAAGTTTTTGGCTCTAGATTACAACAAAATATGAGACTCACCAGCCACTAATAGGCAAAATTCATTGGTCTATTTCCCAATTCCAAAAATACAAAAGCAATTGCACATTCATGATTCATCTGTAGTTCAAGTAGTAAAAGACCCAAATTCATGGCAACTGACTCGTTAATTTAGAATGTTGAGAAGCCTTTAAGGCAGTGAGCTGCAGGTAAGTTGCTATCAGGTTCTTTGCTTGAATGATTGCCTGGAAAGTCATGAGGATGAGATGGACCGGAGGCAAGTCATAGCTTATGACCATGGATGAATTTTATTTAAATTCTATACCTGCCATCAGTCCTTATGCCCAAATGCATATGATAGCCTCCCAGTGGGCGAGAAATGATAAATGCTTATGTCAATTCCATCTTAAAACATTTGTCTATTTGTAGGTTTTCTGTTCATTATTTTTCAACTATTTAAATAAGCTATTGCTCATTTCTTATATCATAACTCATTTGATACTCTCAGGCTGTTCTGGAAACTGTTGCTAGAGTTAAGTCCAAGAAAAATGAGACCAAGGAAGAAAAGTAAGTCTTTAATTGTTATTGTTTATTTTACAATAATAAAATTGAAAAGGAATCTGTTGGTAACTTTATATGTATCTTTTTTAATGTTTGAGAAGTTTAGCTCCATTGATCCACATTGAGGACTGCTTATATATTTGTGAGCTATTTGTAGGCCATTTCATTTTCATGATGTTTTCAATTTGGATAACGAGAATCGGGCTGAAGATACTCCAACATTGATTGATAGAAAGGTATTCGCTAATAAAGTCCTTGGAAACTTCTAGTTGGTTAAGATTCTGTATTTAATGATCTTCTGTGGTGAATTTTGCCTTTTGTGAGAAGCTGTTTGAAGCAATTCTGTTTTTGTAGTGACCTGCTTTGGAATTTTTCTTGTTTTTGAACATGTTGGAAAATTTCTCCAGGATAATGTTTTTATCATATCCAATGCAAAATCCAAGTATCCAACGCTACAACTAGACTTAAGGTTTGATTATTAACTTTCAATTGTCTTTTTATTTTTTTCCCCCATTAAATATACATGATTGATTCAACTTTATTGTTGTTAAAAAATGAATTATGCAGACTGATATCAGATCTGGTGGTTGTCATTGTCTCTGCAACTTGTGGTGGGATTGCCTTTGCTTGTGCTGGACAACCGGTTAGTGCCAATGTGCTTCCTGTGTCTTTTGGCTATTGGAAACCCATTTAACTTTTCACTTATTGAAATCCTATGGCATGTACAATATTCATTCTCTGGCTTAGCTTAAAGCTTTTTAAAAACATGGTTTTCTCTATCATCCTTGGAAGAGTCTTACATTGACATTTGAATTTTCAGGTTATTACTGGATACCTGCTAGCAGGATCAATTATTGGGCCTGGAGGCTTTAGCTTTGTTAGTGAAATGGTGCAAGTATGTGGCTTTGCTCTTATGCTGGCTGGCAGTTTATGTTAATTCTTCTTCTGCATGATCTTTACATTAATTTGTAGGCAGATTAGAAAGGAAGATTCTGAATTGAGGTCCAACAGGGATATTAGGATGTCTAAAGTCTCTTTCCAAACATCATCCAAATCTGATTTGGGTCCATTTGATTAATACATTTCCAACAATTATCTTGTTGTTTAAAATTTTCCCTGACCTGGGATATAGATAACATTGAACTGACCTGAACAAATGTATGTAAATGAATGAAAGTGTTATTGCATATTTTGATACCTGCACTTGTCCAGCAAAATAGTTATGGTCTATGCCAAAGGAAACTGTGATAGTGGTTCACTGCTTACATGTTAATATACTCTTCTATTTCACAAATTTTTAAAAAATTCTTATTTTATGTTTACTTGCATGTGGCTTCAGGTTGAAACAGTGGCACAGTTTGGTGTAATCTTTCTTCTCTTTGCACTTGGGCTGGAGTTTTCAACAACCAAGGTTTGCTTCCATTTCCACTAGTAGAACAATCCCTTTAACCAATGGTTGTTGAATATATGACTTTGTTGGCCAAAAAAAAAAAAATGATGGGTCTTAGTTGTTCAAAATTCTGCAGCTTCGCATTGTTAGGGCTGTTGCTGTTGTAGGAGGTCTTCTTCAAATTCTTCTATTCATGTGCTTGTGTGGAATAACTGCCAAGGTATGTCCTAGGTAGAAATTTTCTGTTTACATGTTTTGTTTAAGAACCAAAGTACATGACTGCTTATGCCGTTAATGAATCATTTCTTAAAGCATTGCAGGACATAGTATGGAAATCTTTCTTTGTAAATGATTTTAGTTGCAACATGGTGGGGTAAGGTTAATCTGCTTCAGCTGTACCACTGCTCTTATCAAGATCAGCAATGCGCCTCTTCATTTTAGAAGCTGAAATTGCTTCCTTTTCCCCTTTTTCATACGGAAACAGTTAATTGAAATCAAACATCAAGAGCTAATATGAGGAATGCACACCTAAATTTGAGAATCAAATGTGGTACTTTGGCTGAAAAATGTAGAATTGATCATGATTATGATCAAAATCAATAAGTAATAAAGATTATTTACTGTGTTGGGACTTTCAAAGTTCAAACAATCTGCACTACCTTTTAATCAATATTGATGTTTGGGGCAATGCTTTGACAGTTACCTTCATTACAGTCTTTTCCTCTCTTTTATGTAGATCATTATATCTATGAGTTTTTGATGGGTGCAATTGAATGGTTTTTGCAGTTATGTGGTGGTAAAACTTCAGAGGGAATATTTGTGGGTGCATTCCTGTCTATGTCTTCAACTGCAGTGGTAAATCTCTTTTTGTTATTGACTAATTAGGTTTATTGTTTTATTATGTCTTCAACAGCGATGGAAAATCTGTGTACTATCTACCTGATTAGTATTTGTATCATATTTACTGTTTCAGAACACTTCGATAAACTTTGCTGTGCTAAAACTGTTGGTTGAGCAGTTTCTTTTACGCTAGAGCTAGTTCTTTTTTTTTTTTTTTTTTTTTTATTAGCAAAGTTGTATAGATGGCCCATGCAAGTCTTGAACCTGCAGTGTTATTAGCATATGATGCTCTAACCCAGCTAATATGCCAATTTATGCCGGTGATAGTTAATTTTGGCTATGACATGGCTATGCACAAGCTCGTTCAATGATTCTATTTTACTGTATTTGGCCTTGCATGTAAGACTTAGAAATTTTTTTAAAGGGTTTTCCTATCATAATGTTAAGGGTTTTTGTTGAATTCTGGACTGTGATCTTCTTGTTCATCTATACTTGTAGAACTGAAGAATTGTACAGAATTTAAGCTAGATGGGCTCAAATGAAAGTCTTAGTAGCGAGTTCTTTTGTTTGCATCATTTTCCATTATTTGAGGCGAGTTTAATTTTAAATGGTTCCAGGTTTTGAAATTTTTGATGGAACGAAATAGCATAAGTGCCCTTCATGGTCAGGTTACAATAGGTACCCTTATCCTGCAGGTATTTTGTTAACTTACTGATCAAAATATGTGTTCTAGTAGGTACTAAATTGTTGATACCTGGTGAATGAATACATATTTTGCTTATTGCTAATAAGTTTTGAACTATCTTGGCTTGCCACTTGCCAGGATTGTGCTGTGGGTTTGTTGTTTGCTCTACTTCCAGTTCTAGGTGGCACTTCTGGCATCTTTCAAGGAGTATTATCCATGACCAAATCGTAAGTTTAATTTCTATAAAACATGTTCCTTTTGAGGTTCATAGCTTCTTTTTGACAGCCGTTATGTATTTTCAGGTTGGTGATGTTGATCTCATTTCTGGCCATTTTGACAATATTATCTCGAACTTGTGTGCCCTGGTTTCTTAAGCTTATGATAAGCCTGTCATCACAGGTAAGACATGATTATTTATTTTGAGTCTTTACCCTATTGCAGAGATGTACTAACTGAAATTTTATTGGCACAGACTAATGAACTCTATCAATTGGCATCAGTTGCGTTCTGCTTGCTTGTTGCTTGGGTTTGCCCTGTTTCCCTCTTCTTAGTTCTTGCATTGTAATTGACTTTTAGACTTGATGCAATTGAAAACTATCTGAAATATCTGCTGTCTTGTTGATTTTATTCATGTGCTCAATTTTTATATATTGTGTGGTTGTACATCCTTGCCACTTGGCTTTCCAAACAGTAGACTTTGTAACCACTTTCTACTTAGCAGTCCCTTTATCTGTGTGTATTTTTCTACCTATGTAACATAGTCTGTTTCGGTATTCCAGTGTAGTGATAAGCTGGGTTTAAGTCTTGAGCTGGGTTCCTTTGCTGCGGGGGTGATGATATCAACCACTGATCTTGCTCAGCATACGCTCGAACAAGTAAGATTCTCAGTCTGTAGCATGTTCAGAATTTCCAAAATGCTTAATGAGTTATGCTTATCTTATGTATCATGATCATTTGGTGATTTTGCATTTTGAGTCATCCTTACTTTGGTTATCATAATTGTGGATTTCTTCCTTTGAAAAGAATGGTGTGTTTTTTCTCTGAGACAGCTCTGAGCTTTTACTATTATGCCCTCATTTATCAAAAACAAAAGTAATAGGAATTGCCAAGTGCATCTCTAACATAAGAAATAAGAGATCTAAATGGAGAATGAAATACTGCTGATAAAGAAAAAAAAGGGAAAATGAAATACTAATATGTTAAACGTGATAGGTAGAAAAAGGTTAAATATGGCTTTATGCAGTGCTCAAAAGGTCATAGATTTCCTTTTCAGT